GTGCGTGCGTGCGTGCGTGCGTGCGTGCGTGCGTGCGTGTGTGTGTGTGACTCAAAGCCAAACAAGCCTACCTTTTTTAAATATCCTTTTTGAACTTTAGTATCATATACACACCTTAGCTCACAAAAGCTTAATTATCCCACCTTTTCTCATTGATAATAAAGATGAAAACAACATGTGTGTTGAATAAAAGGAAAGATTTAAGGCTGAATAGAAAAATTGCCTAGAGAAATGCAGTTCAAATGACTAAGGAAAATAAAAATATAAAGACATGCACCAAAATTGAAATAGAGAAGAAATGCATCAAAATGGGCCATAAAACACAGTTAAACTAAAAAGGAATGAAGAACTTATCGTATATTCATATTGATTATAGTATTTGGAAATTAGATACAAAACTAGTTCCTTTACATCATGGCCACATTACAAGCTTAAGAAAGACCTTAGTGATCCATGCTGATTATGCATAAACAGTATTCGAAAATGAGATAAAACTAAGTGAAAGTTTGTAAGGTTGTTTAGAGCGTTCGATACTTAAGTTGGGAGTGCATTCACTATAAAGCAGATTGAAAAACATGAGTGAAAATCCATTTTTGATTTCAAAACTATGAATTGCTATATATTTGAGTTGGTTCATATATGAGTGGATTCCCTTGTTGCACCACAATTGCATTGTCCTTAAATGAAACATGTTGAAATTGAGCACTACTAAAAATTATCTATAATTACAGGGCTTTGCACCTAATTTTAGGTATCCGTTTTTCTTTAGGCACTCTCTTTGTATTCAAAGTAGATTATATGAAGAGAGCTATGGGAGAGGAACAACATATCCTAGATATTAGGCTTTCTATCAACATGAGTAGCTAAGTTCTCCTAGGTTGAGATTGGATGTAACTAAATCTAATTCTCTATACTTTATGTATTTTAAGTTATTCAATAGTTTATTATTTGATTTATGCTTAATACTTGGATAAATTGACAACTCGTTCTATTTCACCAGTTTGGATTGAATTGGAAGACTGGTCTCAAACTATGGTCCAATTAAATCATCTCATTCTTGCTAGAAACTTTCACATGATCTAGAGGGTGAGATGGATAAAAGAGTCATATACTCAAAGCAGGTATTCATTCTATACGAGGGGAGGAATCATATTGTGTTTGAAAGTTCTTAAGTTTTAAGCAGTAGGAATGGGGTTTAGATCTATCTTAAAGTACTCCCGAGACATTCAATAATTAACATGTATGTACAAAAGATAAGTAGCAGTACAATAGAGGAAGAAGATAAAATCCAACCTCAACATGCATTTATTATTATATTTTCCAAATCTTAATTTAACTCTATTTTATGATCAACACCACTTTTAGGAACACTATTCCATTCATTTCAACATTAAATATTAGGCGGGCGGTCTAAACAAATCCTAAATGGATACGATACTTGTTGATACTATTATACATCATTGCACTTGTTGAAATTGGTTACTACTTTAGCATCTCATCAACAACATTTGGACCTAATGACTTATTAGAACGATGATCTATCTCAAACATCATCATTTCCTTAGAAATTCTTCTGACAATTATCTAAGACTAGGTTAAAAATCTATTGGGTTGAATATGCTTGATCTAGACCTCACATACCTAAAATAAAATAACATTGTTAGTAATTTTTTTAAATGTAATTAATATCTATAATAATAAAAGAAAAAAAGAACAATGATAAATCAAGATCTACAAGATGATATATCAAACCAGAACTAAATTTCATTGAATGTTTACTTCTAAATTTAAAATTTAAAAGCCTAATAAACATTAATATATACTTATACATTCTTTCATTCTTTTTCATAAACATTAATATTACCCTACAATCAGAAAAGAAGATCCATTTGTCGTCACAAAGGAAGACCTACTTTACAACATTTTATTTTGCAGGTGAACGAGGAGAAGGTTGGTTTTAAGAGATTTACGTTATTTTAAGAGTAAGGTTAACATGAAACACATTAACATTCATTTGACACATCTAATAAGAGTAAAATGATTTTAAAAGAATAAATTTTTGTAATTTTTCGAAAAAAAAAATAAAAAATAAGAAAGGATAATATCATAATGTTAAAAAATTATGTGTGACGATTATTATTTTTCTTATTTTTATCATGGTGAGAAGACTCTTTTACATTATACTAATGTAGGTCTTAATGTAAAAAAAAAAAACCCTTTATGTCTGACTATGATAGGTTTAACGTAAATATTTTTTTTATTTATAAAAATGTTATAATTTTCTTTTTCTTTTAAGTGTATTATGTATGAGTTAAATCGTGTTTTTATAGTAAAACACGATTGTACATGTACTTACCTACCAACCATTTTCTGCAGGAATATATTCATACTTGAAATACTAGCAAAGCGCAATGAATCCACTTCTACATGCCTTTTTCACCGCAATTTCTCACTATTCATTCCAAACTTCAAACGTTCACAAAGTTAAACGCATCAAGTACGTACTATATCTCCTTCTTTACCCCAAGAATAATATACACAACCATAGTGTCAAGTTCAATTTTTTTCTTTCTTTTTTGCATTTTAAATTCTACGCACTCCCTAATAACCATAATTATCATAATTCAATTTGTATATTCCTCAATTTTTTAATTTATAATTACTTTAGAAATGCATGTGTGGGTCTGATTCTTAATTTGAATGGATATAAGAAAATTGAAAACATATATATTGAAATTTTTGGATTTAAAGCAGTGTTATATAGATTTGTCTAAGTTTCACTGGAATATTTCTGTAAATCTTCTCGAAACACACGTGAAATTTCATGTTCAGTGATTCTTACACTCATATTTTCTGACTATTTACAAAGCTAAAAAGCATCCACTACGTACTATATCTCCTTGTTTACCCCAAGAATAATATACACAACAACCATAGCGTCAAAGTAATAATTCAATTTTTTTCTTTCTTTTTTGCATTTTAAATTCTACGCACTCCCTAGTAACCATAATTATGATAAGTCAATTTGTATATTCATCAATTTTTGAATGGATATGAGAAAATTGAAAACATATATATTGAAATTTTTGGATTAAAGCAGTGTTATATAGATTTGACAAAGTTTGAGTGGAATCTTTCCGTAAATCTTCTCTAAACACACGTGAAATTCAAGTTCAGTGAATCTTACACTCATATTTTCTGACTATTTAAACTGCAATAACATGAAGTGACTTCATGAACCCTGAACTTCACTTGTCAACACCCACAAATACCAACCAAACATTAGCATTATTGCACAACATGAGTGAGACAGCGTACCTCAGAAAGAACTTTACTCAACTAGAAGAGGCAAAGGAAACACCACAAAATACAGTCCCAAAGATACAAAAGGTAGCAAGTTATCTCCGAGATCGAGAGCACTGGAAAAAGCATTACTTACCCAGGTTAGTTTCAATTGGTCTAATCGATCATGGTAAACGGAAGCTGGAGCTGGGAGAAAAATACAAGCTTATGTGGACAGCAAAGTACCTTGAACGCACCAAACAAGATGGTCAAACTCTGTACCAAAAGATTGCATCAAATATCGAACAATTGAAAGAACGGTTTGCTGATGATGTTATTAGTGACTTCGGTGGTGATAATGAAAAGCTGTCGTGGATTCTATTTGTGGATGGATGCTCTCTGCTACAAATCTTGGAGAAGGCAGACCTTAAAAATCCAAAAGAAATGAATCTCAAGGTTGACCAACTGGTTCTTGTGTGCCATGATGTGCTTTTGTTAGAGAATCAGCTTCCCTATGAAGTGCTTAAACTCTTGTCAGGCCACCAGAATGATGACACACTGGTAAGCAGCATGAACAAGTTTCTTAAGTTCCATCATTTGTCACCAGATGAAGAAAGTGAAGAAAAATGCAAGGGCAAGTGTAATAACGAGGAAGGAGACAGGTATATCTATATCTATCTATCTATCTATCTATATATATATATATATATA